CACATGTGTCATCTCTAAAAATGCTGCAAGTACAGAAAAATACCTAATGATGTTGCCAGTAAAACCATTGAGATTCTAACTTCCTTTAGTGTGCTGACAACCCTGGCCCTTTTGCAATGAAATCCCAAGCAGTGTTATCAGCCCTGTCCGAGTTTTCCTCTGCTTGACTACAGAACTGCTCCCCTTTTTTGTTATGGTGATAAGAGAAGCTGCACCACTGCACAAATGCAGTCTCGCATCCTACAATATGTGTTTTAATTCTAGGCCGGAGCTTCCATGATGGATCCCAACCATTTTCTGATGATTGTGCTCAGCCGGTTTGAACTCTACCAGATACTCAGCAACCCTGATTATGTGAAAAGGTTCAGAAAAGACAACTCAAACAAGGTATGACTTTATCCTCTACACTTTATGTATTATCACTTTACAATTGGGGGGGTCATGAACAAGCCTAATCCTGGTATGAATGTACAGTACTGTGCAAAGGTTTTTGGCAGGTGAGAAACAATGCTGTAAAGTAAGAATGCGTTCAGAAATAAGTGTTATAGTTTTTTTTATCAATTAACAAAATGGAAGTAAATGAACAGAAGAGAAATCCAAATCAATATTTGGTGTGACCACCCTTGCCTTCAAAACAGCATCAATTCTTCTAGTTCACTTGCACACAGTTTTTAAAGGAATTCAGCAGGTAGGTTTTTCCCAGCATCTTGGAGAACTAACCCCAAAATTTTGACTTATCAGTCCAGAGCAGCTGCTATGTTTCTGCACCCCAGCTCCTTTGTTTTCGTGCATAGTTGGGTCGCTTAGCCCTGTTTTTATGTCGGCGGTATGGCTTTTTGGCCTCAATTGTTCCATAAAGACCACTTCTGGCCAGACTTCTCCTGACAGTAGATGCGTGTACCTGGGTCCCACTGGTTTCCGCCAGCTTGGTGCTGATGGCACTGCTGGACATCTTCCGATGTCGAAGGGAAGTAAGAGTGATGTGTCTTTCATTTGCTGCATTAAGTTTCCATGGCCGATCACTGCGTCTACGGTCCTCAACGTTGCCCCTTTCTTTGTGTGTCTTCAAAAGAGCTTCAACAGCTCATCTTCAAACCCCAGTCTGCTTTGAAAGTTTTGCCTGGGAGCGGCCTTGCAGATGCAGTATAACTACCTTGTGTCTTGTTGCTGTGCTTAGTCGTGCTATGGTGTATGACCTGGGACATGAAACTGTCTTCCACAACCTCACCTTAGTAGCAGAGTTTGTCTGTTCCTCACCCAGTTTTAAGCCTCCTACACAGCTATTTCCGTTTCAGGTAATGATTGTCTTTCAACCTACCTATGAATTTGATGATCATTAGCACCTGCTTGGTATATTTGGTTAATCATACACCTGACTCATCCTGACCCTGACTTTGTGCACGTGTAAAAACTGATGCTGGTTTGAAGCCAAAGGGTAGTCACACCAAATATTGATTTGATTTAGATGTTTCTTCTGTTCACTCTTTGCATTTTGTAAACTGAAAGAAATAAACAATACAAATATATATTTTTGAAAGCATTCTTACTTTTCAGCATTTATTCACACCTGCCTAAAACATTTTTACAGTACTGCATGTGGCCTAGGTGCAAAGTGAAAGGTTCAGAAATGGGGAAATGTGTAATTATCTGCAGCGAGACATCGGTCTAATATACTGTATGGCTGTGCTTGCTGTTGCTTTTTTTCCCCAATCTTTAAACTTTTGAGTCATGTTTATAATGTATGTGCTTTATCCGATGTATTTAAAGAGACTCTGTCACTTTGTCCATATAGAGGAATGTGACCGTGTTTGATG